TGTCTACCCTAGAGGTCACCGCTCCCTTTCCAAGTGAGTAGCTGCTATCTTTAATCCCATCACAGTAGGCAAATCCTACAATGCCAGGATGTTAGAAGCTGAGAAGTCATTTTGCATGACATCTTTCTACAAGGATAAAGCCAAAGGCTTATGATGGCTGGGATCACAAGCCCGGTCATTTTCCTAGATGTTTAAGCATGCTGCCTCTGCCTCCAATGCCACAGCCTCTGCTCTTCTCAGTTCTGCTTCATTCACTTAACACTGGAAGAACAGATTGCTGCGGGGGTAAGACCCCATGGGAAGGGGATCTGAGCTAGGGGAAAAACGGTTGTAGATGCCCTGTTGCTGAAGATAGAATAGAGCCTAGCTCCACTGGCCCAGCGTGATTCCCACTAGTCCTCAAGGTCAGACACAGCTCTGGGTTCTATGCTTCAATCTCTGCACAAATTTAAGAAATTTATCTTGAGTATTCTTCAAATGTTTAACTTCTCATTGTATTATTATTCTCTCCTCTGGAATTCTTATTCCCAAATGTGGTACTTTTACTTCTGTATTTCTGTGCCTTTTAGTGTTCATGCTAGATTCTCTGAGTCCCTTCTTACAGCCTTCTGAGATCCGCAACTCACCAAGTCCTCTAGGTATTGTCATCATGCTGTTTATTGCTTTAAATCTTTATATTTTTTCAAAGGTTTATCTGACTTTAAAAATCAGAATTACAGAGGAGAGGGAGAGACAGAGAACCCTCCACCAGCTCTTCTCCAAATGGCTACAACGGCCAGAGCTGGGCCAGTTTGAAGCCAGAAGCCAGGAATTTCTTCCACATCTGCCACATAGGTGCAGGGGACAAAGGCTTTGGGCCATCTTCTGTTGCTTTCCTAGGCCATTAGTAGGAAGTTGGGTCAGAAGAAAAGCAGATGGGACTAGAAATCAGTGACCTTATGGAATGCTAGCCACAGCAGGCAGAGGATTAACACACATACCATGCCAACTCCATAATAGTTATTTCAATTATCATTTTTCACAGTACTTTTCCTCTTAGCTCTTTTGTCATCTTCTTACTCTGCATTGCTAATATTTTTTCTTTTTATCCTAAAGCAAATTTATCACGCTTATTTTATTTTTTATTTTTTAAATTATTGAAAATATTTTAAAATTTGTAGTTATACTGTCTCAGTATTACCTGTAGTACTACGAAGCACTAAGTACACAGATCCGAGAAACAGAAATATACATTGTACAATAAAAGTTCATAATTTTTAGTTATTTGCATGGATTGATTTGTTTGTTTTATGACACAGTTCCATAGACTCAGGGATTTTCCCTCCCCCTCCCCAATTTTCCTTCTCCCACTGGTTTCTCCTATGTTATTACAATAGTATAATCCTTCAAAATTAGCCATAAGTTCATCATTCTGCTATTTAAGTGTATCCTGACATTGTAGGTATGGACAATGGCAGAAAGTCCAGCATCCTATTGTCAAGATATATTTACAGTTTCATTGGGAGTCTACTTTGGTTTAAGAGTAGAGATGCATACTGCATTGTATCTTCACTTCTTGATATGGTAGTTTCTATTGTACAGCTCCTCTAGATATACAAACATTTTTAGCTATATATCTATTGATCTTGCATTTTGCACGTGGGTTGCCTTATATCTGAGAGAACATACAATATTTGTCCTTTGGGGATTGGCTTATTTCTCATGAACGTAATGGTCTCTGGTTGGGACCATTTTGTTGCAAATGATAGAATCTCATTGGTTGGATGAAACACATGCAAACTTTCATCATGTGTATTTTAAATTATATGTGTGTTCCAACCACTGTGATTCTTTTTTTTTTTTTTAGGTTTTATTTAAAAGTCAAAGTTACAAGGAGGAAGAGAGAGAAAGAGAGGGAAATGGGGAAAGCGTGGGAAAGACGAGAAGATGAGACAGAGAGAAGGGAAGGAGAGAGAGAGAGGAAAAGGGAGAGCCCCTTCTGCAGGTTCACTCCCCATTGGCTGCTACAGCCAATCCAAAGCCATGAGGCCTGAATTTTCTCCAGCTCTCCTATGTGTATACAGGGGCCCAAGCTCTTATGCCACCTTCCACCACATTCCCAAGCATATTTGCAGGGTTCTGGACTGAAAGTGACACACTCGTGTCTGCAACAGACTCCACAGGAGGCAGTGGCTTAATCTGACCCATCACAAAGCCAGGCCCACAAGCTATTATTCTTCAAGCTTCATACGTTACTCGATTGGTTGTCTCACTTTTGAAGAAACTGCACCCTTTACATAGTATTTATATAGTATAGTATTTTGTCTGGGGATTTGTGTTCTCTGGATACCCAACATTCCTGCTGGCAATGCATGAAATACCAAAGAGAAGCCAACAGTTTAGATGAGTGTAAGGAGAGAAAAGTAGCAAGCACTGGGGCATCACAAAATCCCTGTGGGTTTCTAGCACCTGTAGACATCTAGGGAGCAGCACCTCTATGAAACGAAGCTCACCAGACTTAAAGGCACCAGGCCTTGGAGGGCAGAGGCAAAACCAACCAGGCCTCTACGGCTTTTCCATTCCTTGCCCCACGCATGGCTTTTGAGCTACATCAGCCTCATTCCTCTAACACGGTCAACCCTGGCTGGTGCTGCCTTCTCCTGAACTAAAGAGTCCATCTTGATTGTCCTAAGGACCTGGTGTGGGTAGGAAAAGGCACATCCCCTGTCCCCTGACAGTCCCTCCCCCACCACTGTCCAAATTTATTCACATACAGACCCTCTCCTAGAGATTCATAAATCAGATTGATTTTTAAATTTCCCCAGGATCTTTGTGTTTTCCTTCAAACCTCTGCTATCCATTTGCAATTCACCAAGCATTGTTACAGCTCTGCTGTTTTCATGGCTGTGATAAGAAAACTTCAAGCCTCATTACGTTTCCTCATGAAAAACTTTCCACATCAACAGCAGACATCCTCTTACGCAATACTCGGTTACATGTTTCAGTTCCACATCTGCAGATTTGGTCAACTGAGTTATGTCCTGGTGAAAATATACAGACATTTTTAATCCTTGCCTTTCCCTACGTAATAGAGCATGATAACTATTTGTATAACATTAGCTTGCTATTAGGTGTTATCAGCAATCTGGAAATAATTTAAAGTATCCAGAGAAGACTGTCCATAGGTTATACACAAATACTATGACGTTTTCTCTTTTTTTAAATGATTTGTTTATTTTCATTGGAAAGTCAGACTTAGAGAAGCAGATACAGAAAAATGGATTTTCCATGTCACTCCCTAAGTAGCTGCAAAAGCCAGAGCTGAGCCGATCTGAAGCCAGGAACCAGGAACCTCCTCTGGGTCTCCCACATGAGTGATGGGACCCAAGGTTTTTGGCCATCCTTGACTGCTTTCCTAGGCCGTAAATAGAGAGCTGAATGGGAAGTGGGGCCGCCTGGACATGAACCGATGTCCTTATGGGATCCCAGCATATTCAAGGTGAGGATTTTAGCCACAAGGTTATTATGCCTGGCCCTACGACATTTTCTAAGGGACATGAACATCTGCAAAATTGGGGTTCCATGAAGTTTCTGTAATCAAACTCCTGGTAAATACTCTATATCATAACACCCAGCATTTATGTAAGACCTATTTATAATAGTCTCTACTCGGTGTTCTGTAGGCATCGGATTCTTTTCATTCTTATACTTGAGCTACAGTGACAGAGACAATTGTTACACCTGCTTTCCAAAGGAGAAACTGAAGGTTAAAGTTCTAATAAGTTCCACCAAACCACACTAATCGCACAAGGCAAGAACAGCACTTGAAACCGAAGTTGTCTTCAGTCTTCCCAAGCAGTACTTGTGAAAGATATAACTGTCACAAGCATCTGAGCTTCTCCTTATCCCATGCCAGCCACAGCCAGCTCAAGTACCATGATTCAGAGGTGTATGGCAACTTTTTTGGAAATATGTCTTTTGTTTTCTTCATTTTTCTTCTTTAGTATAAAAGTTTACCTTACTTTCAGGGTGATTTGACTACCACCCCATCTCCACATGCATGCACTTGCATTTATTCCTCACCCTTTTACCCACCTCTCTGTCTCTCTGTCTCTCTGTCTCTCTGTCTCTCTGTCTCTCTGTCTGTCTCTCTCTCCCCTCTTCTACTCTCTACTTTCCCTATCTCTCTTCTCCCCTCTTTTCTCCCTTCTCTCTCTCCCTTTCTGCCCTCTCTTCTCCTTTCCCCCTCCTCTCCCTCCCCTCTCCTCTTTTCTCCATTTTCTCCTCCCTCCCTGTCTCCCTCTGCGTCCCGTTCCCAACTAAGGCACAGTCCACCTTGAAATCAGAAATATTTCATGGTATCTGTGAAATGATGAGAAGCTGAGTCGCTACAATCTTCTGAGAAAATCAGAAACAGTTGCAAGAGAGGATTATTTTAAAGTTGAAATGATTCTGCTGCAACTCCAGAGAAAGTCATCTTGCATGTTCATTGAAACGACTGCCCACCCGCAGCAAGCCCCTCAATTTCCTTATCACTCTGTGATAAACAGAACAATGGCTTCCCAAAGGTGCCCACACCCTGATTGCCAATAAATAGATTATGCAACAAAGTGGGCATTACGTTATAGATCAACTGACATCATTGTTATTGTCTTAGACTATCCTGATAGTTCAATGTTTATCACAGGGAACTTAACTACAGAAGATGTGTGCCACAAACAACACTTACAGAACCTTGAACACAATCATTATTCTTTTCTGAACACTTGTCCTTTAATCTCTAATATTTATCCTCAAAATAGCCCAAACAGAAGGGTATTATAAAGTCTGTCTTTATTCAAGTTCATATAGTCAGTTGCAAAGTTGGAAGTGAAGTCAAAGTGTCAGCAATGACCCTATGAAGGTGTACCACACAATACAAGAATGGAAGTCTACATGAATGGCTCCTCCTATGAAGACGCAAACCAGGACACACACCTAACTTTTTTTTTTCATATTTTTCTTTTACCCACAGGACTGCAATGCCAAGGGGAAATCAGAGCCACATGACTGAATTCCTCCTTCTAGGACTGACAGCTGACCCCAAACAACAGGTGTGGCTCTTTGCTGGGTTCCTGGCTATGTACCTGGTCAACGTGGTTGGTAACTCAGTCATTATTGCAGCCATTCGGAGTGATGCCCGCCTCCATTCTCCCATGTACTTCTTTCTCTCCAACCTGTCCTTGGTGGACATCTGCTTCACCACTGTCATTGTGCCACAGATGTTAATGAACATGCTGGCGCACAGGAAGACCATCCTCTTTCCCCAGTGCATCACCCAGATGTATTTCTTTGTGGCCTTTGGGATCACAGACAGTTTCCTACTGGCTGCCATGGCCATGGACCGCTACGTGGCCATCTGCAATCCCCTGCATTATAGCTCGATCATGAACCCCAAGCGCTGCCTCTTGCTGGTGCTAGCCTCCTGGATGGTGTCTCATCTTCACTCACTCATCCACACAGTTCTCATGGCACGCCTTTCCTTCTGTGGGCCCAACATCATCCACCACTTCTTTTGTGATGTCCAGCCGCTGCTGACGCTCTCCTGCTCTGACACCTCGGTCAATGAGCTGTTGGCCTTCACAGAGGGCTCCTTGGTGATCATGAGTCCCTTCATCTTCATTCTTGTCTCGTATGTCCACATTACCCGTGCTGTTCTGAGGGTCCCTTCGGGGACAGGCAGGTACAAGGTCTTCTCCACCTGTGGATCCCATCTCACTGTTGTAACACTGTTCTATGGCACCATAATATCAGTGTATATTCGGCCCTCATCCACATACTCAGTGACAAAGGATCGTGTGGTCACTGTGATCTATACAGTGGTCACTCCTATGCTGAACCCTTTCATATACAGCCTTAGGAATAAAGACATGAAACAGGCGTTGAGAAAGCTCACTAGGAGAACAGATTAGAGTATGCATCTCTTACACCTCCTGGGAATTTAACCACTATTTCAGCAGTTACGTGTTAAGCACCCATCAGCTGCAGTCACTGTCTTTAATCCTGTGAGGAAGACAACATAAATGATAGCTTCTGTCCTCAGCCATGCTAACAGTCTAACTAGCAGAAAGGAGACTACCAACAGCTTGCTATAGCAAGAATTTCTCTTTAAAAAAATAACAACCATTTCTCATCTATAAAATGGAAATAATAATAGAATCTGGTTTTATGCAATTAAATGATGTGGCAACCTGTGGAAAGCAAGTAGCACACGACATGACGTATGGCAAGAGTTCAAAAAGGCTTAGTTCTTATGGCTGTGATCGTGTTTGGAACTTGAAAATTGGAGGCAACTAATTTGGGCTTTATAGGCAGAGAAAAAGCACCCATCAGTGGAGTCAAGTAGACATCCAGCAGATCATTTTCCAAGACAAAGGAAATAGTCATGTTTATATAAACAGGTCACTTTCATACCATAGAAGGCAGACAAGAATACAGATAGAACCCAAACTATGAGTTTGCTTTATTTACCATGGTTTTACTCTCAGAAAAATACACTAATATAACTTGCTACAGGGGGAGAAAATAAAATCCTAACTGAATCTTGGGCTATCATCAAATGTCAACAACAGCACAAATATGATAACCAATTTTATTGTGGAAATGTATTATTTAGAGAATGGTGGTTTCAAAATGCTTCTCTTCAACTTGCATACAGAAGGTTTAATAAGAAATAAATGGAGCAAGCACAAAAGGTCTACTGGTTAATCCTCTATCTTCAAGCTCCAGCATCCCATTTGGGCACCAGATCACTTCCAAGCTGCCCCACGTCCCATCCAGCTCCCTGCTTATGACCTGGGAAAGAGGTAGGGGGTAGCCAAAAGCCTTGGAACTCTGCACCTGAATGGAAAACCCAAAAGAAGCACCTACTTCCTGGCTCCTGACTTCGAATCAGCTCAGCTCTGCTTGTTGCAGCCATCTGGGGAGTGAACCTGTGGAAGGAAGAACTTTCCCTCTCTGTGTCTCTCCTCTCATTAAACCTGACTTTCCAATCAAAACAAATTATTTTTTAAAGAATAAGAAATAGGGCCCGGTGCAATGGCTCAGCAACTTAAGTCCTCGCCTTGCCTGCTTCAGGGTCCCATGTGGGCCCCAATGCTAGTCCCTGTGGCCCTGCTTCCCATCCAGCTCCCTGCTTGTGGCCTGGGAAAGCAGTTGAGAATGGCCCAAGGCCTTGGGACCCTGCACTTGTGTGGGAGACCCAGAAGAGGCTCCTAGCACCTGGCTTCGGATTGGCTCAGCTCCAGCCTTTGAGGTCACTTGGAGAGTGAATGATCGAATGGAGAATCTTCCTCTCTGTCTCTCCTCCTCTCTGTTTATATGATTTTTCCAATAGGGGTAAACAAATCTTAGAAGAAAATAAGAAATAAATAAGAGGTGAGATCACATTTATTCAAATGTCATTTATGCATTTTTATGAAAATAAGAAAAGCTCCATTTATTGTAATAAATGATGTATTTAAATGACAAAATATCTGTTAATAAACCCAGATATTCATCAATGTTAGAACAGATGAGCGCATTATGATATAATCCTAAATGGAATGTAAGTTCATAAACCCATAGCTCAAATCTTTTAACTTAAAAAAGAGAAAATGAGAGTTTGTAGAGTTGCAGCGAGCTTATTTTGCAGCAACATTTGGCCGACTGTAAATATCCACACACTGACTTGTAAAGACATCACTGTGATGTATTTCAGTGTGCAACCCCAGTGTCTACTGAGCAAGTCACAGGTAATATATTCCCAACATTATCTCCTAACACTGGAAATGTTCTGAGTTACAAAATGAAAGTGTTTATGTTATGGGGGAGGGTAGCACCGTGTGAACATTTACTACCGAGCAATGAAAAGGAACGAGCAGAAGCTACAAGTATTGCCTGAACTTTAACTACACCAAATTGAAATGAATTCAGTTATTCCATTCATGAAGATACAAGGAAAGGCAAATATATACAGCATGTGATTTCTATGTAGATGAGAAAAGCAACAAGAAAGCTTACTGCCTGCTCTTGTTTCTTATACATTTCACAATTTAAATACTTGTTGATGTTTCAGGAAGAAGCCCCTACTACTTCCACAGATATTGTATGAGTCGTACCTCTATCTCCTGGAATCACGTGTAACAAGTCTGTTCGCCTATCCTACATGACATAACTGTAGAAATTTGAAAACTCATACTTGTGCTGCACATCGCACATCAAATCTGTTCTATTTAGTTGCTATCCGTCACTTTCTGGGAAATGGTTCATTTTCTTCATGAATATTAAAATTGGCATAGAATGTGGGCTCTCCATATAGATCAGGGTGGGAAATGGAGCCTTCCCACTGCCTGCCTACATGGGGGGTAGGTTCCAGGAAGCATGCTGTTGGGATGGTTCCTTGGAAACACAGATATTCCTGGCACTGCTGCAACTTAGTACTCCATGGCTCAGAAGGGACATCCAAGAGGTTGGACATTTGCCCCATCTTGTCGTTAACTAGGAGGCCTGGGATTGGGTCCCAGGAGGTGCTGCCCATGAAAAGGCCACACCTCTTGCTGCCTCCTGTTCCTGAAAGCGAGTTGCTCCAGCTCTGAGTCTGTTATTTTGTACTACTCTGAGAGCAAGAAAAAGACTGGGGGCTTCACCAATCGTCCTGAGGAGAAGTAGTGGGCAAAGTGGGCTAGACCAAATATGGCAGACAGACGCAATACAGATGATGATGGCAGAATCTGAAGACAGAATTTCCAGGTAAGAGCTGAGGAGATAGATACTGGAAGCATTACTTCTCTCTCTCTCACTCTCTCTCTTTCTCTCTCTCTCTCTCTCTCACACACACACAAAGAGAGAAAGAGAGAGAGAGAGAGAGCTTCTCCTCTATTGCTCCTTTTCTGTGTTCTTCAGCTTATAGCAAGCTACAGCCTGGCTCTCATATTCACCATAATGAAGACAATGATTTACTACTTGTGAATTTCCTGAGAGTCTAGCCTGACATCAACACAGATCAGCCATTTCTAAGTTCCTGGCAGTGGCCAAGCCATCATAACTGTGTAATAACCGTGCCCAGGACCACAGTACTATACACAGACAACTCATTCTCAGCCCACTTGATCAAGTGTAACTTTCAGAATCATTCTAAGTCATTGCCCAGGCACAATAACAATTTCCATGACAATCCAGAGTGCAACAAGTCCTGCCTGTTTCTGTTTTTAAACTTTAGCCTCACAATCATTTGAAGTAGATTTATCCAGGTTCATGTTACAGTAGAGACTCTGAGAAGATAAATGACATGACCAAAATGGTGCATCTAAAACTCAAACCTGAGTCCACCCATACCAAAGTGAATGTTTTGTCATGGTACTAACAGGTCAGAGCCATAACAACCCAGATGCTATGACTGCACTAGTGATGACAGTGACAATTACAATTACATATATTTAACTTGATATTTATCAAGTTGGTCACAGATAGTGATCATGGAAAGTAGCATATAGGGTGAAACTCATTCCAGTTTGACCACACTTGAGAGGGCTGATGGAAGTTGAGCTTTCCATCTCTGGTCAAGCATGGAGGACTAGTTAGTCACCCCCCCCCCCAAAAAAAGCACCTTCAAATTGTTATCTATAAACAACAGAAACAAGAGTATCTTTTAAAAATCTATTTTGATGAGCGTTAGCTATGAATCATTCATTCTAGTTCCATCTAATCACCACAATTCAACCCTCACCACAATCTACAAAAGCCTCTGTGCTAGTCCTTAGGATGGGTGACTTCACTGACATCTATAAGTACACAAAGTAGGCATATCTTCTACAGACCAGGAAGTTGAATCTCAGAAAAGATCAGAGGAAAAATTGCCAAGGGCTACACAGCTACAAAGGACAAGTTTCTCTCTAGTCTGAAAACTACCAAACCCAACTCTTCTAATGAGCAATGATGTTGGTAATGCTGCTGAAACACTGATGAACCCTCTATGTGTAAAGGCTTTTTTAGTTTATAAAGTTACATTGTACACATTAGCTCATTTGATGGGTTTTTTAGCTAGAAGAGAGAGAGAAAACAGAGAGAAAGAAAAAAAGAAGGAAGGAAGGAAGGAAGGAAGGAAGGAAGGAAGGAAGGAAGGAAGGAAGGAAGGAAGGAAGGAAGGAAGGAAAGGAGCGAGGGAGGGAGGGAGGGAGGAAAGAAGGAAGGAAGGACTGGTTTACAGAGAGAAAGAGCTTCCATTCACTGGTTCACTCCCCAAGTGGCCTCAATAGCCAGAAATGATCTGATCTAAAGCCGGGAGCTTCTTTGGGGTCTCCCATGTGGGTTCAGGGTGCCAAGGACTTGAGACAATCTGTACTGCTTCCCCAGTCCAGCAGGGAGCTGGATGGGAAGTTGAACATCCAGGACTAGAACCGGCATTCATACAGGATGCTGGCATTTGCAGGTAGAAGATAAGCCAGTTGAGCCACAGGCCAGTCCCTGATGAGCATGGTTATTCTGTACAGTGAACTGAGTCCCAGCTATGAACCAATGTAAATTGTTACCAATGTAAATTGTCATCCTTTCTGTATCTTTACACCTCACACATGAATACACATGCAGTACTTAACAATTTTCTATGAAATGAATATTTCTAAAATATTTTATTCAGGTTTTATAAGTACATAATTGATAGCTTCCATATCAAAAGGGAGTAAAGGGAGATGGGGGCTAACACTAAGGTTTTTCTAACCTGATCTCCAGAACCTTCCCCAGGAGCTCTACAGATTGACTCACTAGATAGCTAAAATGCAAAATTCACCCACAACAAAATCTCCAATTCTAATTTCCAGAATTCTGACTTCTACATAGATTTTCCGTGCCAGCATCAAGAGACACCAGTGGTTTCAAAGAAGAGTACCACAGATCTCAAAGATCAAAGTAAATGAAAGGCCTGGAATAATATAAATGATTGAATGTGTATATGTATCCACAATATCTTTCAGCAATTGTTTTATTTTAAATGGATATTAGAAACCAAACTCCTCTCTCTGGTTTCCTGCTCCTGGGCTTCTCTAAGCTCCCAGAGCAGCAGCCTCTGCTGTTTGGCCTCTTCCTGGGCATGCATCTGGTCACCGTGTTGGGAAATCTGCTCATCATCCTGGCCATTGGCTCAGACCCTCACCTCCACACTCCTATGTACTTCTTCCTGGCCAACCTCTCTTTCATCGACACCTGTTTCACTTGCACCATTGTCCCCAAGGTGCTGTTCAACATGCACACCCAGGATCACACCATCTCCTACCCTGGGTGTCTCACACAGATGTTCTTCTTCATGCTGTTGGCACTGCTGGATGACTTTCTGCTGGCTGTGATGGCCTATGATCGCTATGTGGCCATCTGCCTTCCTCTCCACTACACCATGATCATGGGTCCCCATCGCTGCCTGCTGCTGCTGACCACGTCCTGGCTCTGCTCCACTAGCTTGGCCTTTTCACTTGCACTGCTGATGACTCAGTTCTCCTTCTGTGCCTCCCATTCCATCCCACACTTCTTCTGTGATGTTCTCCCACTCCTCAAACTTGCCTGCTCAGACACCCATACCTTTCAGGTCATCATGTTCTCTGAAGCTACACTCTCAGGTGTGGTCCCACTCACATGCATCCTAATCTCTTACGCTCACATCATGCACACCATCCTCAGGATGCCCTCTGCTCGAGGGAAGCACAAAGTCTTCTCCACCTGTGGCTCTCACCTGACAGTGGTCACTCTCTTCTATGGAACACTCTTTCTGGTGTATTTCCAGCCTTCATCCTCCTACTCAGCAGGCACTGGAATGGTCGTGTCTGTGATATACACAACAGTCACCCCCATGCTGAACCCCTTTATCTACAGCCTGAGGAACAAGGATATGAAAAGGGCTTTGTGGAGACTCGTTGGCTTAGGAAAATATTCGGGAAAGGCACAGCTCTAAGATCCATCAAATGCCCTTCTAAACAGATTTGTCTGTTCAAGGCAACAGGGACTTCCCACATCAGAGGCAGATCTAGCAAATTGTGGATCTCCCTTGGTAGAACTGGAATAAGACCTTGGCTGTTGCTGGCCAAGGACAGCAGTGCAGCCTGGAGGGAAGGAGTGGTGAGCACTCTCAACAGAGCGTCACGTCAAAATGTCCTGTGTTCATTAGAGCAAGAAAATGTTTTAGGAAGAGAAAGACTTAATAATCACAAGTTTGCTAAAGTAAATTCTGTGTGGACAGGGAGGTCAGGTACAGGGAGTCTGGAAGAAGCCTATATGTAAAGTGCAGGTAAGCTGAGATTAAATCCATCTTGGTCAAGGACAATTTGGCTAATAAGTATATAAGGATAAAAAACATTCAAGCCAAAGAGTGGGAACCACCTAAACAATAACACGAGACAGGACTTAGGTCCCAGGAGGAAGACCAGGTGAAAGCTCAGTCTAGGACTAAGAGGTTCCAATCAAGCACAAGAAATGCTAACAGTACCTGGATTGGTCAAATGCTCTGAGCTTCGGGACCATTTCTAAAACCAACTTGGGAAGCAGCTCACTCCTAAGGGTGAATCTGCACCATTGAAGAAGCAAATCTCTTTTTTAGTCATTACACACCAGTTTTGGCTGTGGGGCTGTGGAGATTCACTCAAGGACAGGCATTGAGTGGGTTGCGTAAAGATCCATATCATACGTTACCGATGGATTTACAGTGGAGACCACAGTTTGTGGGTCTGCTCCAGACACCAATCCAGGCTCATTCTAGTAGATCCAGTGGCAAGTTTAACTGTATAGACTGCAGCTACAAGAAGACTGCTGAAGACTCAATCTCCAATCCATCCTCCATTGACTAAGAACCTCCTCTTGAGGACAGCCCAGGCTCAGTGCTATGTCAGTACAGCTTTTAGTGGGGTCAGGCTCCAGGTTCATCCCAAAGGTCCAAGGTGATGCCTACCAAGTACCTGAAAATGGGCCCACCCAGGGCAAGAGAGAAACTGTGTGACCAGACTTCACACTCCTCCACACAAACCAATCATCAGGTCTACCTCAGTAGATCCAGGCTTACACATCAGTTATGTGGATTCACATGCCTTATGTGGATTCCATGTGCTGAGCCAGACACCAGAAAGCCTGTATCCATGCAGCAGGCCAAAACGTGTAACATGCCAAATGGCCTGCCCAGAATCTCAAAACCATGCTGACTGATGAAAGTCTTTCCATTTAAAGTCATTTTGAAAAAATTGGAATATGTCTTTACTTCTTCAAAAAAGCGGACATCAAAGTAAGGGAACAAGAAACACAAGCCAATTGGATAACAGCCTACAGAGGAAGCAAGTTCCCCACCTTCACTTTATACAAAAATCAGCTGTAAATGGATCAAGGACCTAGATCTGCACTCGGAAACCATCAAACTATTAGAGGAAAACATAGGGAGCACTCTGCAAGATATAAGCATCGATAAACACTTTTTACAAAAGTCACCAGAAGCACAAGCAGTCAAAGCCAAAATAAACAAATGGGACTACATCAAACTAAGAAGATTCTGTTCAGCAAAGGAGATGATCAACAAAGTGAAGAAGTAACCAACAGAACGGGAGAAAATCTTTGCACGGTACACAACCGACAGGGGACTAATATCCAGGATTTACAAAGAGCTTCAGAAACTCAATGACGGCAAAACAAACAACACTGTGAAGAAACCAGCACATGAGAGAATCAGGTCTGGGGGTAGACTCTGTGGGGGATATGTGGGCTCATCTCTGTAGAACTGCAATATCCACTGGTTTGCTCAAAAGCTGGGGTGGTGATGTGCTGAGCTAGTCGTGACCATGGAACTCAACAACACCCAGGCATACTGAGGTTGGGAACAGACCAGGCTGGTCCAGGCTGTAGCACCCTCAGGTGTATCCAAGAATAGGGTGTGGGGCAGGCAAGGCCACAAAATTCACCAACACACACAAAGGCCAACACTGTGGTGGGGCGGGGCGGGCAGACTGTCAGGTAACAGCCTAGTACCTGCTGCCATGTGTGAGATCTGGGTATGGGAGTGAGCCTGGCAGGGGAACTTGGGAAACTCCCCTTGCAGACTGTAGCTTCCACTGGTGAGCACGTGAGTCAGGGCTGGGTGTTGGTCAGGCTGGACATTGGTCAGGCTGGGCAGGGCTGTTTCACGTATCAGTAGAGGTGTGGGTTGCCTGTGTAGGGGATGGACTGGGCAGAGCCAAGCCTAACCTTAGCACGCTGGCATGTGTGGGAGAGAGAGAGAGAAAGGTGGGGACGGGGGAAGCCAACAATCTCTAAAGATCTAAATGAGTGGGAGAAACACCCATCCAGGAGTGGAAATGGGTCCTGGAACAGACAAAACAGGTGCATCCCACAGTATGAAGACAGTTCTCTCTTGCCTTCCACCTCTATTTATAAATAGATGTACCACCAGGGTAGGAGCTGAGCATACACCCTGGTCCTGGAGGTCAGGTGCATCTTGGGAAGGCGGATATGGCCACCTGAAATTTAAAGAGACAATGTCCATTTCTGGGGGTATGAAAGTTCCAGAGTCTGCTCATTTCAACTTTCACCAACTGCCCAGTTACACCAAATCAGTTCCACGTGGAGCGGAGTGGCCCATGTGTTTGGCTCCATTTGCTTACTTTCCACATCCTTGAACCCTTTCCTTCCAAGCCTCTGTTAGGACCGCACATTCACCAGCATATTCAGGTTTTTGTCCTTCCAGAGGCAGAAAAGAAAAGCTCTGTGCTATTCCTTTCAAGCTGCATTTAAGTTCACTTCAAATGATTTCCTGTTTGAAAAGCAGGGCTCTGAGAAGCTGGTGGGGACTCTGCAGCTTAAAGTTGGGCTCTGAGTGGTCCTGGTCACATCCACGAGGAACACTGGCTGCCATTGAGTTCCCTGGCAGGTTTTCTGTCCACCGCCATCAGCTGCTTGCCTCCGTCCCCAGACTGCTGCGACTCAGCCATGGCTCTTCAGTGATCCACATCACCACTCACGGTCAAGGTCATTCGGTAACTCCTTAAACTTGCAGCTACTGGAACCCTGTGTTTTTGACAGAATATCGGCATGAGATATCAGCTACTGCTGACACCACGCTGTTGGGCCACAGCATCCAGGCCCCCAGGCTTTCTCAATACCTCATGTAGCAACACATTACTAAATCACTTACAACAAGATGGACCACTTGTTTTTTTCTTTTTTCTTTGTTACAGACTTATTTACTTATTTTTATTGGAAAGCCAGACTTACAGAGAGAAGGAAGACAGAGAGAAAGGTCTTCCATCCATTGGTTTACTCCCCAAAGGCCGCAATGGCAAGAGCTGAGCCAATCAAAATCCAGGAGCCAGGAGCATCTTCCAGGTCTCCTACCCGAGTACAGGGTCTTTGGGCCATCCTCCACTTTGGGCTTTCCCAGGGTACAGGCAGGTAGCTGGATGGAAAGTGAAGTAGCCAGGACAAGAACTGGCACCCCTATGGGATGCCAGCACTTATAGGCAGAGGATTAGCCAGTTGAGCCGTTGCAGCAGGCCCCTGGGTAGTATTGTCTGCATCTGCTGTTTCAGCACAAGCCAGAGAGAACAACTTGGAAGTCTCCCAGAGCATCGTTCAGTGTTCCTTCAACGCATCTGCTAAATCAGTGATCCAACCCAAGACACTCAGGAGTGATTTCACTCGGCTGTAGCAATGCCATGCCAGCCGCCACACACTGCAGCATTCACTCAGACTCCCCAGGAGGCCTCTGCTTTCTGTGATCGGCCAGCTGGCTCCTCGCTTGCCTGAATCACGCTGTCTCTGTTATAAGGAGCCTCGTCCAGATCCCTGGGTCTGCTGAAGGCTGCTGATTTCATCCAGATGCATTGGGCCTCATTCACTGAGCATAGCAGGCTCTGAATGACGATGACACCCCAGATCGGTTTTTTCATTATTGTTAGGGCAACACCGACGACGAGGCACGCAGTTTTGCCTTTGACATCAGTTTCAAAAATGACGATTTGTCCATTTCTTGGAAAGATTGCCCACTCTTCTTAAGCTTCACTTCTTTGTAGTTGCCATTTTATAAAGATTTTATTTATTTTGGGGTCTGACATGGTAGCCTAGTAGCTAAAGTCCTCACCATGAACTCACCGGGTGCTGGTTTTAATCTCAGAGGCCCTGCTTCTCATCCAGCTCCCTGCTTGTGGCCTGGGACAGCAGTTGAGGACGGCCCAATGCCTTGGGACCCTGCACCTGTGTGGGAGACCCGGAAGAGCTCCTGGCTCCTGGCACCCTCCCCAGGTGACTGCAACAGCTAGAGCTGAGCTGATTCGAAGCCAAGAGCCTGGAACTTCCTTCATGCACAGACCCTGGGCCATCTTCTACTGCTTTCCCAGCCCACAAGCAGCGAGCTGGATGACAAGCACAGCAGCCAGGACACTAACCAGTATTCATATAGGATCCCAGGGGATGCAAGACTAGGATTTTAGCCACTAGGCTATTGCACCAGGCCTGCATTTTTAAAAAATATTCCTTTTATTACTTGAAAGGCAGAGTTGTAGAGTTACAGAGAAAGAGCTTCCATCTACTGGCTTACTCCTCTAGTGTCCTCCATGGCCAGAGCTGGACCTGGCCCAAGCCAGCAGCCAAGTAACTCCTTCCCAGTCTCCATATGGATGCAGGGGCCCAGGGACTTGGGTGATGCTCTGCTGTTTTCCCAGGCAGATCAGCAGGGAGCTGGATCAGAAATAGATCAGCAGGAACTGAAACCAGCATCCATGTGGGATGCTAGTACCGCGGGAAGTAGCTTAACTCGCTAGGCCACAACACCAGCCTGCTAGTTGCCATTTACAGAAAATCACACCACTTGCACTTTGATAACGATCCCAGTGTGTGTCACAAGGGACAAGATCTTCTTGCTCTGATTACTGTTCCAATTCTGCATGTTGACTTTGGAAAATATCCAACCTTCACTTCCAGAAT